GCGCTGCTGGAGCCACTGTGGAGAAATGACTTCCAGATTCTGTGAAAAGCTAAAAGTTGGCTTCAAGAGCAATAACAGTGATGCTTACTTCCATATGAGTCACTCTTTGATGTGCAGTGACAGACTGTTTGAACATTTCCCCTTGTCCTCCRTTGTTGTTGTTAGAATATATCAAGTCATAACTGGTACTAGAGTTTCTGGGAAAGTGGCTGGAAAATRGGTTTTGTTACACGTAAAGCTACAATTAAGGAACAGAATTATCCACCAAAAAGTTTGATTCTGAGGCTAAGTTTTATTTCCAAATGCAAATATGTAAAGTGATTTGTTAAACAAATATATTTGCAATATATTTTACAAAGTGGTTGCATCTGACAGGACAAATATATGCAACCTCTGGTCTGGATTTTCAACTCCCAACTCCCAAGTGATGACTCCAAGAAATGGGATAGCGCYATGTGTGAATACGTGAGGAAATCTTTCACAAAATTTACAGTGTGCATGTGTGAGTACTTATCAGAGTTACTGCTGGGTATCGTGTATTGTTTATGTACATACTGTTTTTGTATGATCTCAGAACAGTCAGTATAAATCAGGAGATTCATCCACCATTCTGCACGGTGATCCAGCCTAAACAAAACACTCAGATTTCCCAAGCATACAGTAGACAACATGCACTGTGCCCTGYATGCTTCAGCCAGATGTCTCTCCTGAGTATTTTGAGTTGTAAAAATGCATCTCACACGGAAAATTTCCCACTGTGAAGTGCCTGTGTGAAGGGGCCCCAYGTTGCAAAAGTTCAGACCTGATTTTTTTAAACAGTCCCTGATTTCCATGTCTCCAAACTGCTTTATTTGCTCTCAGTGTGTAGATGTAGAGCAACAAAAATAAGWGGTCTAAGTGTTTTCAAACTTTTAACACTAAGAAAGGTAGAACTCAGTTCTTAACTTCAATGTATTTTAAAATCGTAAAATATCTTTAAGGGAACAAGATGATGAATTTGTAGCAAAGTGGAAAACAGTTTCTACCTGTAACGTTCAGCCTGATGGTTAAAATTACACAATACAAAGCCAATACTATTAGAGGTTATATTATGTTTCCTTTTATCAGACAGTATATTATATTGATCTTATATTGAGGTTATCATTAATAAAGCTGCTGTGTTGCTGCAACTTAATTTTCATTTAAACCATTAAAACTTCAGTTTTTAACTACGCATCTGAATTTCATAAAAAAATATAGATAACTGTATAAATGTTTMATTTTAAGAGGCAAGTCAGTTGAAAACCAATTCTCATTTACAATGACGACATGGTCAATTAGCATCAATACAACACAAAATGTCAGAGAATGAAGACACGGCACAAATAGTATATTGTACAATTAAACATAATATAACACAAGGAAATTWGATTAATTCAGGAAAGAACTTGCTATTTTTGTTTGTTTAAATCAAATTGTTATTAAAGAACATAATGCTAGAATTTGATATGTAATTGTTTATTATGACACTGCTCCCATTTGAATGACTGAAGGAGATGCTACAAATGATTAACTGAATGTTAGATCCAGTGTTGTGTTTTCAGCCTTAAGTTTAAACAGAATAAGAGTTGGTGTGTCTTATCGATGTGTTCTCTCTGTAGTATAAACAAAAGTTGGTTAMGTTAAYGTCTGACRTAAAAGGTAACACCTTCAGGGGTGTAACCAGAAAGAGACTGAAAATGTTAAAACGTTTGAATCATTAGGAGATGAGAAGAAGTTCTGAGTTGTGCAGAGAGTCTCTGCTTAGATTCAGACTGGGCTGTTTTTGTTTTGGTTTCCTGATACGGCTTTTAACTCTGAGGCCCGTGCTGTGAGCTGCTGWATGGAGCTGACTGGAGCAGATGAGAATAAAGATTTTTAGAAGATATCCAACAGTTTTTCTGCTATATTATTCAGACTTTCATTTTTAAACWTGCTGATTTCTACATGACCGCCAAGAAACTGAGCTGTGTCATCACAAAATGAATTCTGTTTATGGAGACTGTACAGGGTGGAGTAATGTTTCATTTACAGATGATATAGGCTGAAATGTCATTTCTTTAAAAAATACTTAAATTCCTAAGGAGTTTTACTTTTTTCCTTAAAGTCTTTACATGACCGTTTTTGTGATTCAGTCATAAAAAGCTGCAATAATTTAGACATGAAAGTTTCCCTTGACAAATCTCCAAAGAATTTGAAAAAGGAATCTAAAACCATAGTCGCCACACAAGTAAGATTTAAATTCAACCATTACATTGCACAATGTTTCTGGGCCTCGGTAGTTTGGTGGTTAGTGCTGTGGTTTCCTAATCCTGAGGCTGTGGGCTCAAGCCCCAGTTGTGTCAGTTAGGGCATCTGATACAAAACAGTTGCCAAATCGATTGGGTCAGTTTGGTTGCTGTTGTTTCCTTGGCAGGGGAAAGGGTCTGAAAGAAAACCATTRTATAATGGATTTACATCATGGCCAAAGCACTTTTATTTGTAATAAACCAGAATCTGTTCAATATCTACGGAGCCCGTGAGGGGACATGGGGAGATTTTTTTCTTTTGTGTTCCCACGCAATAGTATTGCGTTACCTCACAATACTTTTGCGTTACCTCGCAAACTTTGTGCATTACCTCGCAAAATTGTTTTGCATTACCACGCAAAAGTTTGTTTTGTATATGAAATGAATTAAATCAGACTTTTATTTTGAAATATCCGTTACCAAAACAGGATGTGTTGCCACAGTTCGTGAGATTGACATTGATAATGCGTGACTGCATTGTGTTAAAATATCGGCAGATGACATACTTCCATGCGTGGCTGTGTGATATATTCATTCTGAAGCTGAATTAAAGCAGTAGGCTAACTCGCTAATGGTGAACATGTGAATAACCGGCAGGCACAACAGTGATAAACGACTTTTGCGAGAGAACGCAATGGTATTGCGTGGGAACGCAAAAGAAAAATAAATCCCCCCATGTCCCCTCGTGGGCTCCATAAATATCAGATGATTTGCCAAGAAATATTATCTAGAYAACAATTACTACTGGCCAACAGGACATGTTTCCAAGATTTCACCTAGGCTATGAAGTTTCAAACATGTTTTGGGTTTTAGTTGTTGCCAATGTTTTGCCTAATTGTTAGATTTTAAAAAGGGAATCTTCACTCCAGAGCTATTTCACTCTTGTGCTTTGTTTTAGACTAGTTAGAGCTATGTTTTCTGTTGTTTTCTAAGATTAGCAACTCGATGAATATACTGCATATGTTCATGGAACCTCCGGATAAAACGTTCAGTAGTTTGTGAGGTTTCTGAATTCCAGAAACAGTTTGATCACTAGTTGCCATCCAGATACTTTTGCCTTCATTCATTTACGTTAAGTCAGTACCACTGATACATTGATTCTGAATATCAATGGAGTATTTACCACAAACAGGAACCCATCTATCCTGAACCCAGGATATCTCAAACATGCATGAATGAGTAAAGTAGCACCCTGAGTATGTTTTTGATGAAGGAATGACATTATAACGTTATATGTAATACCCCACCTCCACCCCCTTTAAGGAAGGCTCATTTTTCSTCCAATGTAACTGTGCCACAGAGCCTAAAGAAAGAACTATAAAGATATGGTTTTATGAGTTTGTGTGGAAGAAGCTGACACAGACACCTGACTTTGCATCAAGCACCTTTGGGATGAGTTGGAATAAAGATTGYGAGCCTCTCGTCCAACATCAGCACCTGACCTCATAATGCTCTGCAAAATGAATGGACACAAATTCCCACAGAAACACTCCAAAATCTTGTGGAAAAGTCTTCCAAGAAGAGTGGAAGCTGTTGGAACTGAAAAAGCAAGATTACATAATTCCATAAAGTAAGAGAACTCCCTCGTGGAAATGAAGCTCCTGTGTCCTGATGCATCTCAGTAATCCAGGTAAAAAATCAAAAGGAAAAAAAGCCTGCATTTTGCCTGAAACTCTCAGACTGAAGAAGTCTCTTGGAAGAGAGACGAAACGTTTCATTAGAGAAGAACCCGTCCAGAGGACCTATACAATTTTTTTTTCCTTTTGAAGCTCCTGTGCTTCTTTTGTATTTCTGAAGGTGTGCATTAGTGTATCTGATGCAGTTCAACAACTTACATTTCCATTCTGAAACTTTTTCGGAGATTTTGTTGTGAAATGACAATACAAAATTTGATAAGGCTTTAGGCATATTGGACTCAAAAACGCCGACTACGAAGAGCTAAAAAAATTACCATTATTATATTATTTTAAACAAACAAAAATAAATAAATAAATAAATAAATAAATAAATAAATAAATAAACTGGTAATAAAACTTCATAACTCAAAATATTCATCAGGAGGAACGAAGAGACATGAGGGTGCACAAGAAAGACCAGAATGTGACATAATACACCAACAATGCTCGACTAATGTGAGAATGGAAACTGACAGAATATATTGACTGGTGTTAAAGAGAAACTGGAGACATCTGGGCTAAATGAAGACCGGTGAGGGTTGACAAAGCTGGAGCAGAGGAGTAGAACCTCTTTTTCTGACTGAGGCTCAAATTAATACACAAAGAAGACACAAGGAACAGAAATGAACATAAGAATCTTCAACCACAGCAAGTGTAACCAAAAGGGAAAGTGTGTGATACTTAAACAGAAAACTAAAGACGTAAAGCACCAATCCTGACTAAAATGTCAGCACTAACCAGCTTCTGTGTGGCTGTGTGAAAAGTGTTCCTGAAAATGAAGCTGGTGATGCTGGAAGTGAATAAACACAGCTACTTCCTTGGAAAAATAAAAGTCTTGTCAGTCAGCCCAGATACTTTGTGTGGGTCACTGATATTAAAAGTCCCAATCATATCCCCAGAGAGAGTTGGATACCCATGCACTCAGGAGAGGAGAGACTAAGTGAAGTTGTTCATTAACTGAAACCTACAAAGATAAATCATTTTAACTTTTGAAAACTTTTTCCTTTTTTTTTTGCAGGCTATTAGTTGGGGCCCCTTATGAAATGACTGGCCCTTATCAAACAGGGGATGTTTATAAATGTTCACTGAGCAAACGAATCAATGGCAATGGCTGCCTGAAGCTCAATTTAGGTATAGTATTACAAAACACCACTCAACTTTTTACCACATCTCAACAAGAGCTTTACAGTAAATAAAACCAGAGGTTTTTAGCATTGCATATAGGTTAATATCTGTTGATTTTTTTCTAAAGTATGTCAGCAAACATCATGGTAGCATGTGTAAGACAGAAGTGTGGGTGCCATACCAATCATTTCACATTTTTTATTGGTTTATGTACTTTTCCACGTGTGTGTTTTACCACACATTTTTACTGCTTGGTTTCTCATACGGGCTGCATGTGTTCTGTTGGTTAGGCACTCACTTGAAGTTTAGTTGAGTAAACATTTCGCTCGGAGGATGTGGATGCTGAGTTGACTAGCCAGACAGCAATAACAAACCGAAGTCCCAGATGGTTTTTGTTCTCTGTAGGACTGTGTGCATGCATGGATCTGTGCGTCTGAGACCTTCTCAGTGAAATTCCTTTTCCTTCAAGGAAAGATATCCCTGACCAACGTGTCAGAGCGAAAAGACAAGATGAGGCTGGGAATGACCCTCACGACTAACCCTAAAGACAACAGCTTTGTGGTGAGACTTTWAAAAAAACAAGCTTTGCTGAGTGAAAATAAGCATTTTTGTTTTGACTATAAGTGCAGTTTTATTTAAGTTTTTTTTGCTTCCACATCTCCCTGCATGATTTATCTCCCAGCATATTAATTTTAGACTTTGAGCTCTTGCTTGTGTAAACATTGTTTTTTTATGTTTAAGGCGTGTGGGCCTTTGTGGTCATACGAGTGTGGCAGCTCCTACTATAGCACTGGAATATGCTCCAAAGTGAATTCAGGTTTCAAGTTCTCCAGGACAATTATGCCTGCTTTTCAAAGTGAGCTTAAAAACATTTGTTCTATTAAATTCATGTACAAACATCTTTCTTTGTGTATGATTATCCTTTTTTTTAATGTTCAGGATGTGAAACCTTTATGGACATAGTGATTGTTCTCGATGGATCAAACTCCATTTACCCCTGGTATGAAGTGCAGGATTTCCTTATTAACATTCTTCAAAAGTTTCATGTTGGACCGGGTCAAATCCAGGTGCGTATGAACAGAAGAAAAGAGAGGATTTCATTTTTAGAAGAGTCTTCACTGCTATTTGTTTTACACGTTTATTGTGTCTAGTATGTTCTATTATTTTTTGTGGGATTTAGGTTTTTATTCTTCCCCTTATCTCAACCACAAACTAGCTGTGCACCCTTTGAAATAGAAATCTGATTTAACACCTAAACATCAAGCCTATTCATGTGATTATTGTCACATTTACTGGTCATGTCTAATACAATTTCAAATTAATTAATAATTTATCCGAAACATAATCTAAATCATCTAATGATGGGATAAGCTGAAAGAAATATTGGAAAACAAATACATATTAACCTCAATGCAGCATCTACAGTTTTGCTTCAACAAATACAATTTTTGCATTAAAATTTTGAAAAAAATATGTTTTCTTTCTCACAATATGAACCTTTAACCTGACACGTAACAGTGTGTGACCCTTTAAAGGTAAAGGACCTGTTAATGTTGACATATTACATCAGAAACACACAGTTTATATCAGTTTTTTGCAGCAGTCTTTTGTTTCCATTTCCAAAATTGTTAATAGGAGTATTTCTTTTCCTGAAAACAGCTGCAGTTTGAATCAACACTTAAATTAATATTAAGTCCTTGTCAGACATTCTGTAATCTCACTCCAAGGCAACCTGAACACACAGATGATGGTCACTGGATCATTAAAAGTTTTTATTATTCGTGTTGTATTTATACAAGTTAATAGACTCCGTTTCAGGAATCTCATCACACAGCTCTGTCTTTTTTATTGAGTCAATGAAATGTGTTCCTGTGGTAGGTTGGAGTTGTTCAGTATGGTGAGCAGGTGGTCCATGAATTCCAACTCAGTGATTATAAATCAGTTGAGGAGGTGGTAAAAAGGGCCAAAAGCATCGACCAGCGTGGCGGAGAGGAGACCAACACGGCTCTTGGCATCAACACAGCACGGTGCAGTATCTCCACTTCCTCACTAATTTTCCTTTCTGACGTTTATTTGACTGAAGATATTAAACACGTTCTCACAGCTCCCAAGCGTTCAAACAGGGAGGTCGGCGTGGCGCCAAGAAGGTGATGATAGTGATAACTGATGGTGAGTCACATGACAGCCCCGATCTCCAGCAAGCTATCGAGGACTGTGAGAAGGATGGCATCACCCGTTATGCCATAGCTGTGAGTCTAGACCAGTTTTCTGCTATATTGTTTTAGGTTTTACTCGGTTTTCTGGTGGCTTTCTGCACAGCTTCGAAACACCATAGAGGCGACATTGTGTTTTAAGGCCCTGCACTATGATGTTTTAGACAACTTATGTAATGTTTGTCCTACACACTGCTGTAAGTTGCTCAGGTTAGGTAAGTTTTGAACGTGTTATCAGCACAATGGACAGACAATAACAGTGGACATGCTCAAAATTTTCAGCTTATGCCAACGTGCTGCTGACAAGTGAGGTGTAAGTTACAGGTATGTTACCTGTGCATCAGTTCACAGGTAAGATATTAATTTGTTACTCATAACTGGATATAAGTCCGACACCATCTGAAGCAGCACGTAACTTTTTTTTAACACTAAGACTCCTAATTTTTCAAGGCTCACGTGCAAAGTTAATTCAACCTGGAGAGACTCACACAAAGACAGACTGCAATTAGGAAGTAAACTTGACACGAATGACAAGAGTTTGGCGCTCAGACCCCGGCAGAGGATGTGAGCACTGTGAGATGATGTAAGCTCCGATGAGTGGCTTGAGATTTGGTGTAGGGGTAGGGGTAGGGGTAGGGGTACCCCCCCCACCCCCCCCGCCGCCGGGGCTTGACACTGGTGGTGGAGGTCAAAGGTGATAGAAGTCTTTAGAAGCCAGAAGATGAAGGTTGGAGGAGGGGAGGTGGAAGGTTGACGTTCGGCTGGCAAGTGGCCGATGTGATTTCAGAGGATGCTTTTATCCACTGACTGTCAGATGCTGATTGGATGAAGCTGCGCTTGAGTGGCAGGATGGAGCAGGTGACGTCAATTAGTCTTCCTGAGTTGATTTTTCGTCACCAACTCAATTTTAACTCATTAATAATTATTATTATGTATAAAACAGGTAAACAATGACAAAATCAACAGATTCAATGTAAAAAAAAATTATATATTTTATCAATAAAAGCACTGAGCAAAATAATTTCACAGTCTGGTTCCAAATATAAACAAGTTTAGCTCATTTAATTCACCAGAACCTTGTTTAGAATCTTGTAACCCAGTATTAAATTTAAATTTGCATATATTTCTGATAAACTTTAAACCTGACWCTTTAATAATAAGCCTTTATTTTAACAGGTAAGTCAATTGAGAACCAGTTCTAATTTACAATGACGACCTGGTTGAGTGGCAACAGCACAACATAAAATGTCAGAACATGTTAAAACAAGGACACAACACAGAGWAGAGTACAGGTAAACTTACTGYAACACTATTAATCAGGAAAATAAACAGATAAAATTMGATAAAAAGAAAAAACTAAAAGCAAGTACAGTGATCTTTTACAATAGAATGTACAGAACCTTTAAAAGAGGTTGGAGAAAAGAATGAAACAAATTTTAAGGTTGACAGAAGGATTGTTGGGTTGTGGTGCAAAAAATACAAACCAAAACCACATCTTTAATTCTGATCATGACCTACTGTTAATAGTTTACTGTTTACTGTTAATATTRTTTAWTTSGCATAAATAAAGCARCAYCTGTAGGCTACAGATGGCAGCGAAATGCGCAGCTGAGCTGAGTGCAGCCGCACCCCGAGCCGCTCGCAGTGATCCAGCTTCAGACTTGGGCTTCGCTTCTCAGGCGGCTGATCAAATTGTGCCGCAACATTTGTGCCAGAACATGCGTAGCTGTTGATCAATGTTGATGACGCAGAGGCCCAGGTMWCKGTTTTAAACATCACCAGATTGGTCTCCTGGGCCGCGCGTGGTCCATGCTCTGACTTCTTCCCTGACAATATTTGACAGCTGTCAGTCAATCATCGRGGGACACGTCCACACTTTCTAAYGKAAGTKACGTGTCCTCTTCATAATTAYCCAACTTGTTTCTGACAAATGTCCAYGTATGAGCATCCTCCATGTAATTTGTGTGAGCATATACATAACRGACCTGAAACGTGTACAAAACTGATCAGCAACTGTTCCACATACGGTGAAAACTTTGAGCATGTTCAAAATTCTGCACTGGGACCTCCGTATGACAGCGTAYGCCCTCTTATATTAACGTGTTGGTAAGTTCTCCTAGATGCTGTGCATCACTGTGTGACTGCTGCCAACATTGCATTTTCCTCCAACACACTGCATAGAGGTTCTGTCGAAGTTCCACTAACGTTGCACATACGTGCTGCCAAACATGTTATAATAAGCTGGTACACGTTATGTTYAAGGTAGGGATMATTTTTTCATAGGTTTTACATCTGTTCAAGTCGTTWGCAACACGGTATGATCATGTCCAAAAAAAGGTGCTAATTGATGCTTTTTTTTCCTCTGTTCCTCAGCGTGTGCTAGCATGYTGGCAWAATTTGCAGATGTAGRCATAATTTGTCTAAAATGTCATGGTGTKGCAGGGCCCTTAGCTAAAACAGGTTCCTCTAGATGTCTCACTAAAAACCATTCACAGCCTCTCAGAGCTCCAAACCTTTTCTTAAGTTAAAGGTGTAAATGATGTCCTCCAAACCGCAGAGCTCATTGGTTTTTGCCGCAGTTGGTGAAGTTATTGGCAAACTTGATTTCTTAGTGTGCCTGGGTAGCTAACTGGGCAAAAACTCTGACATCATTTGGCTTCAAATCAGATGGAAATGGTGACAACACTCGCAGTTTTATTGGAAACYGAAATTCTGAACCCTTTTCAGAGGGCTACAATTAGTCTGTCATAGTTCTGTGTGATTACTTTTGCTGGTTTACATTCCTCAAATAAGCACGTTATGCAGTTTCAGTATTCAAATATACAGTACCAGAATGTCAAAATTTTACCTTCACAGGTGCTTGGCTACTACAACCGCAGAGGCATCAATCCTGAGGCCTTCCTCAATGAAATCAAGTACATTGCCAGTGACCCAGATGACAAACATTTCTTTAACGTGACAGATGAGGCGGCGCTGAAAGATATCGTGGACGCTCTTGGGGAACGCATCTTCAGCCTGGAAGGTTGTGCAAAAAGACTTKAATTCAACAATTTTAGTTCTGTTCATTTAGAGCTTTTTCTGCATGCAAACCTTCAAGATGGAATGTAATGAACATGAGTTACAAAAAATGAAGCAAGGTGTGTTAATTTCACGAGTGTTTGGCTTCACATTGTGTAAATTTTAGTTCTTATATGGAAAGTAGCACTACTGTAACATAGTTTTACTCAAGTGAAAGTAAAAGTTAGCCTTCCAAGAAATTGCTCAAGTAAGAGTAAAAAAAGTATTTTGTAAAAAGACTACTTGAGTAAAAAGTAATTGATCATAACATAAGATTTAATATTTTAAAATAATGTCATCAGACTGACAAAAAATAGAAAGTTGTCAAATTCTGGTGTTTTACAGACTAAATGAAACCAATTTAAACAAATAACTAACAAAATTAAGAAATAACAAAATCTAGCTGAAGAAACATTTTTTCAAGTCCATTTTTTATTACAAAACTTATGAAACTAATACTTACAGTGGATAAGGCTTCACTTAGACAAAAACTCTGTCTCTCTCCGCTGCATTTTTGGTTAAAACATGTTTGTTCATCATTCGGTGAAGTTAGGGTGGGAAGAGTTTGGCAAAATTTTACTCAAGTAAGCGTAGCAAAATTTTAAAATATTAATCAAGTAAGKTAAAAGTATGATGCAGTAAAACCATTCCTAAAAGTACCCCCCCCCCTAAATGCAACTACTACCCACCTCTGCTTTATGTGCTCTCAGTACACTTGATCTTCAAGTTTTTAAAGTCATTACAGGTGTATATTTTTAAATGAAAAATTCAGCAGCAATAAAGCAAAAWAAATCTGCATGAAAGCATCTAAGTTAGTGAATTACTAAAAAAATGAGTTTGTAATTTAAGAATTATCATTCTTTTTCCCATTTCAACGGAGATTTGTACATTTTTGTGAGTTTCTGAATATAAAAATAACACTTTCTTGCACACCTGATTCTCATGATGACARTGTTTCAAAGAGCTGCAGCTGTCAGAGAAATATTTGAGGAAAGTTCCAAAATTTCTTGAAAAACATTTGAAAGATTCTCAATCACTTTGCTTGTGTTGCAAAGTGATGCTTCTGTGTTGCTGGAATTTTGATCCTATACAGAATTTGTGAGACGAATTTGGTCTGAAAATAGTTACAGAACTGAGAGTCTAGAACCATTTTCCATTTAGTTCCCATAACTCTGGAGCATAGAGTTATAGTATTTTACCAATATGTATCAGATATTCTGTGTATGTCAAGAAAAGTTGCACTTATTTGCAATTTCGTGTTTCCAACCAGCCCAAGAAGTCTCTCCTTTTAGTTTCTGAAACTATTCATGAATTTGAAATGCTTATTTTAAGACTCTAATGTTTTTTCTTTCTAAAAATGTGCTGTGGCTTGAAAGTGCAGTTTTTCTGCGTCTGGAATGCTTCAGACTTTAAAGTCTGGCTTGTTTACACAGGAACCAGTAAGAACGGGACAGCGTTTGGCCTCCAGATGTCACAGGCAGGTTTTTCCGCACACAACGTGGAGGTGAGTCTGACTCTTGCTATCCCGCTGTCTCACACCATGTGTCAGTGTGTACAACAACACACATTGTCTCAGTTTCTGCCGCTTCGTAATCCCTTCCCACAGTGAGGCGTTTATCACTCTTTTCCCCTCTGAAAGGCCTGCTGCGTGGCCCCAGAGGTTCAGGTCATCCAGATTTAGGAGCCACTGACAAGCAGACAGATTTTTCTTTGTCTTTTCAACCATTCAGCAGTGGAAAATAAGACATTGTTTGTCCCAGAGTGAAAGAAAATCGTAAGGAGCCTAGACAGGATTGAGACAGTCTTACTCAGAATGTCTTCTTTTTCTTTAATGTCTCAGAAGGTTTTGCCTGCCTCTTAGTGGCAGGTGTGCTGGCTTTGTGGTGCTACACAGCTGGAAGATAAAAAATAAAAAACAAACCCAGACACATCTCTTCTACTGTACCTGCTGTTCATACCTATTTTCAGTCTTCTCCTCCTGACGTTTTAAGATACAGCTGCTGTTGCAGGTGTCTTAATATTTCAGATTCCTTTCACTCTAGACCTTGCTGGTAGAAAAAAAAGGTCCAATTTATGAGAAAAAATAAATATATAGCAGGGTTTGCAGCTGGGTGGCTGGAAGGGCTGGAAATTGTGTCTATTGGGCCAGATTCCAGGGATTCTCGACAAGACCGGCATGAGTGTTGAGAGTAGGATAACGTTTTGGAAAGAATGTTGGTGTTTTAAAAGAGAAAAACGGTCCTGAGGGCCCAGATGGTTTTACTGAATGTAATTAGAGTCAACTTTGAATGAGGCTTGTGTCATATACTGTGCAGATGTCTTGTGCATTTGTATACATTGCACATTTTTCCGTCTGTGATTTTCTGTTACTAAACATTAATGAAATGAAGGAATATCAAGGATCTGATTTAATTAAAAATATATATTTTTTGTGGTCCTGTGATGGACTCGCGACCTGTCCCGGGTGTACTGCGCCCCTCACACTATGACTGCTGGACTTGGTGACCTGTGTAGAAAGGAAGTAGCGGGTAAAGATGATCAATGGAATTTCTTTGTATTTCTTACATTTTTACTTATTTTTTTTCTTTTGAAATATAGAGATTTTATTGTGTTTTCCCTATCTAAGGATGCATATGTTTTTTTGAACCTGGTTTTTCGGCTCAACAAAGATTTGACATCCAAACCAAAGGGAGGTATATGACCATGAATGTAACTGCAGCAGAAATAGGTCACTGTTTTATGAGGCTGAACCGTTTGTCATGGAGATTATTTTTGGCCAAAACCGATAAACCACAGTGGCRTAATGCTGCTGCTAAAGAATGACGTAGTGCAAATGTGGTGAGCGTGCAAATCTGTATTTCAGGAAGACAATCGCAAGTTTTCCAGACCATGCTAATAAGCTGGAAATTATGTTGTGGATAATATTGTGTACTGCATGAAAAAAAGGAAATCATTATGCAGAGAAACCCTACAATCACAGCACCATAAACACAAAGTATGTTGAACCACAGATTATAGATAATCCTTTCTCTAGCCTCCCTGTGTTACAGTTGCTGTTTGTTTCCTTTTTTGAACATCAAGTCCAGAACAGACCATTAAAGACTCATTTTAATAGCAGATTTTACATTTCATTTGATCTTTTTTTTGTTGTTGTTTCTTAATATATTGTGAAAACATCTCACTGTTTTGCTTTGTTTCCTGCTTTTTACTGACATAATGTATGTGGTCAGCATCACAGCAGGGTTCTATGCTTGTTGTGGTCGTTAAAAAGGTTAATCAGTCAAATGAGACATTCCTGAGGTTAGACAGCCACTAATTTAACTACAGCATACAAAATGACACATGTATGTCTCTACTTACGGCTTACTTACAGTATAGACTCACCTCAACAAAAATGACAAGAATGTTGAAAAGCAAAACCAGGTGGGATGAAACACACCAGAAACAACTCAGTTCAAAGGAACAAAAAGGTGTTTGAGATAAAGTATAACTACGTAATGATTTATTGTGCTACCTACCTATTTTTCTTTTTTAGCCTATACCATAAGCATTATATTTGCAATCTCCTACAGGATGGGATTTTGGTGGGAGCTGTTGGTGCTTATGACTGGAATGGAGCAGTGCTGAAGGACACACGGCAGGGGAAAGTGATTCCTCCAAAGTCATCCTACACGCAGGAGTTTCCCGAAGAGCTCAAAAATCACGGTGCCTACTTAGGTGAGTGGCATCAGGCTGTACAAATACTGTAAAAAGTTTACAAAAGTTTGAGAAGAGGTGTGAAAGAAAGTGGACATTTAGACTTTAATTCTTACAGACATCATGATTTTGTTCACAGTTTCTTCTTTTTTTTTTTACTTTAGAAGAGTTACATGCAGGCTTTTTTAAAGACTTCCAAAGCTAAATTATTTATATGTTTTGTCTTGACAATAACTTTTTTAAAATTGAATAAAGAGGCCCTTGCACTACCCATTACATATTTGATAAATATACCTCTACAACAGTCAATTGTTCTAACAGTCTGGAAGACAGCTAAATAACTCAAGCTTTTAAGGTTGGTAATAAAACCAAACCAGGAAATTGTCAGCTAATTAGTATTCTATTTTTCATTTCACAGATTGCTGAGAAATGGGTCTCCAAACAATTAACCATCTTAATGTACAGGTGCTGGTCATAAAATTAGAATATCATGAAAAAAATTGATTTATTTCAGTAATTCCATTCTAAAAGTGAAACTTGTGTATTATAGTCATTCATTGCACACAGACTGATATATTTCAAATGTTTATTTCTTTATTTTGATGATTAGAACTGAAAACTAATGAAAACCCCAAATTCTGTATCTCAGATAATTAGAATATTACGTAAGACCAATACAAAAAATTATTTTTTGAAATAACCTGAAAAGTATGAACATGAGCATGTACAGCACTCAGTACTTAATTGGGGCTACTTTTGCCTGGATTACTGCAGCAATGCGGCGTGGCATGGAGTCGATCAGTCTGTGGCACTGCTCAGGTGTTATGAGAGTTGCTCTGATAGTGGCTTTCAGCTCTTCTGAATTGTTGGGTCTGGTGTATCACATCTTCCTCTTCACAATACCACATAGATTGCCTATGTTAAGGTCAGGTGAGTTTTCTGACTAATTAAGAACAGGGATACCATGGTCCTTAAACCAGGTACTGGTAGCTGTGGCACTGTGTGCAGGAGTCAAGTCCTGTGGGGAAAAAAATCAGCATCTCTATAAAGTTGGTCAGCAGCAGGAAGCATGGAGTGCTCTAAAACTTCCTGGTATGTGGCTGCGTTGACCCTGGACCTCAGAAAACAYARTGGACCAACACCAGCAGATGACATGGCACCCCAAACCATCACTGACTGTGGAAACTTTACACTGGACTTCAAGCAACGTGGATGAAGTGCCTCTCCTCTTTTCCTCCAGACTCTGGGACCTTGATTTCCGAATGCTAAATTTCCTTTCATCAGAGAAGATAACTTTGGACCACTCACCAGTCCTTTTTGTCTTTAGCTCAGGTGAGACTCTTCTGATTCTATCTCTTGTTCAAGAGTGGCTTGACACAAGGACTGCGACAGCTGAAACCCATGTCTTTCATACGTCTGTGTGTGGTGGTTCTTGAAGCTCTGACTCCAGCTGCAGTCCACTCTTTGTGAATCTCCCCCACATTTATGAATGGGTTTTGTTTCACAATCCTCTCCAGGGTGAAGTTATCCCTATTGCTTACACTTTTTTTTCTATCACATCTTTTCCTTCCCTTCGCCTCTCTATTAATGTGCTTGGACACAGAGCTCTGTGAACAGCCAGCCTCTTTAGCAATTATCTTTTGTGTGTTGTCCTCCTTGTGCAAGGTGTCGATGGTCGKCTTTTGGACAACTGTCAAGTCAGCAGTCTTCCCCATGATTGTGTCGCCTACAGAACTAGACTGAGACCATTTAAAGGCCTTTGCAGGTGTTTTGAGTTAATTAACTGATTAGAGTGTGGCACCAGGTGTCATCCATTTTGAACCTTTTCATGATATTCTAATTTTCTAAGATACTGAATTTTGGAGTTTGCATTAGTTATCCGTTATAATCATCAAAATTAAAAAATAAACATTTGAAATATATCAGTCTGTGTGTAATGAATTAATATAATATACAAGTTTCCCTTTTTTGAAGGGAATTACTGAAAAAAATCAACTTTTTCATGTAATTCGAATTTTATGACCAGCACCTCCATTATTTTGTAAAATACATTGGTATGCTTTGTTGAATTGCTTTTTTTCAATTGTTGTATTCATTTTGGGCACTTGTTTTAAAAACTTTTAACTTATTTTAGCTGCTCAGGCACTGGATGAAATTTAGCTGTTGTGCTAATTCCAGCACATTGATATTAATAGAATGTTGAATAATGTGCATTGTCTTTTCAAACAAACAAATCAATGGATTTGTGGTTTAACACCACTTGTCCTCCTTTACAAAGTGTGCCCACTGCGTGCATGCTCTTCAACATAACCACCCTCATCTTATTTCAACACCACAGACCTCTGTTTTTGCCATCAGTGAGTTGCATTCAAGCTTGTCCAGCAGGCTGCCAATAAAAGCCAATCTAAGCTCAAAAGCAATAGAGGTGGATACATAATTTTGGAGACACACAGAGAATATTAAACCTGGGATCAAAGAAGTATGAAACTGACATGAATGTGGAAAAGAATAACAAAATGTTCATGTGGAAAAGAGGACATTAAATAAACCAAAAACTGAGACATGAAGCTCTGCATAACAAAACATGGCTCAGAGTTTGCACTTCCCATATGGCAAATTTTTGCTAATTTTCCGTGAGTCATGAAGATGGCTTTCATAAAACTCAACCAGGTTAGTTTATTGTTGTGCTTAAACAAATAGTAGAGCAAACTGTAGAATCTGATAAGTGAACTGTTAAGCAAACAGTGATCTTAATTTATGTGGTCAGTTTCAACAATAAAGACATCACAGAGAATAACTCACTCAAGCGACAATCTTCAGGAGATTTATTGCCCGAGACTGGAGCTGTAATGTGTGTTTTTGTCTGTGTCCCATCTCCAGGTTACACAGTAACGTCTGTGGTGTCTTCAAAAAGTGGTCGTCTGTTCGTAGCGGGAGCCCCACGATTTAACCACACCGGCAAAGTCATCATCTTCACTTTGAATAATTCAGGCAACCTAACCATCCTGCACTCACTCAAAGGTCACCAGGTACAGACGCAGCCACAATTTAATCAACAAATATTTACAACCTCACTTCTATCAAAGTTTGAATGTTGTATAAAGCACAAATAAAAACAGAATATGATGATTTGTAAATCCTTCTCAACCTTCATTATATTCAATTGAATGCATTACAAAGACAACATATTTAATGTTCAAACATAAACTTAGTTTCATTTTGTGTTGTTTTATTTTTTTATTTTTTTGCAAATATTGACATTTTGAATTTTATGCCTGCAACATGTTGCAAAAAAGCTTGGACAAGAGAAACAAAAGACTCAGAAAGTTGAGAAAAGCTCATAAACTATCTGTTTGGAGCATTCCACAGGTGAACAGTTTAATTGTAAACAGGCAAGTGTCCTGAACTGGTATAAAGGGAGCATCCCCGAAAGGCTCAGTCATTCACAAGTACGGATGGGGCGAGGTTCATTGCTTTGTGAACAACTGTGTGAGCAAATAGTCCAACATTGTGAGAGCAATGTTAATGTACTATTGCAAAGAATGCATCAAATTTTATCATCTACAGTCCATAATATCATCAAAAGATTCAGAGAATCTGGATAAATCTCTGCAAGTGAGCGGCAAGGTCAAATGCCTGTGACCTTAGATCCCTCAGGTGGCACTGTAATAAAAACTGACATTATTCTGTAACATATATATCACCACACTGGCTCAGGAACACACTGAACACAGTTTGTCTCTACATGTACAAGTGCAAGTTAAAACGCTACCATGCAAAGTCAAAGCCAGATGTCAACAACACCCTTTGTTCTAAACTTAATCCTCTACCCAAAACCAGCATCTGTATCTATGGGGACCAGCAACCCCTGTAGCACCAGTGCTATGAGCTACAAAAGTTAACATACAGCCTTGCCTTATGAAGTGCAAAGTACCACAATGGAGCCCCCAGATTGTTGAGCAACTGAAGTTGGACATCAAGCCAAAATGGACCTACAAAGCTTCAACAATTGGTGTCCTGAGTTCTCAAACACTTATTGAGTGTTGGTAAAAGGAAAGGTGATGTAATACAGACCCTTTCCCAGCTTTATTGGAACATGTTTCAGCCATCAAACTCAAAGTGTTACGTTCAGGCTCCATCGCAGTAAAATGAGTATCTGTTTGTTATCTGCTGTGCAAATGACAAAAACATGTTCAGCTTTATGGTGATTCGGGCTGAATTTTGTTGTTCAGATGGTTATTGGCAGATGAATCCCAGTGTCCAATATACTTTAGTTTTATATATGGTAATTTCAAATATGTTATTGACCACTGCTTTCATACTTGGCAACACTACACAGACTGTTACAATGTATCTTGTCAACAACATGTCTTGCAGAACAACAGATGGAGTTTGGTGTCTCCTGAAAACTCACTTTGAYCAGAAAGCCTTTTTTTATAGGCAGATGTTTCAAATGTTTTTTTCAAACCATTAGATGTTCTGTTTTTTCCCCAGTGTCCGGTCCAAACTCCCTCAGTAAAGCTGTCACAGCTCAGGCATCAATGAAAGCATCAGGGTTGACCATTTTGCTGTGACTCAATAAGAACCACCTTGTGCCTGTGATATTCAAGTTCAAAAACCTCTTGAGCTCATCAATAAATCAAACACAAATAAGACGTAGTTTCAGAGGCAGCAGGAAAGAAGTCAGTCATTTTAGCTCAGAGTGGACTTTATATTACAGCAAAGCACTTTTCCAGATGGCAGTATAATCAAATAGCTAAGCTGCATTTTTTTTTAATGTTACGCTCAATCAACATAATTGTACACTGTTTCTTTCAGATTGGATCCTATTATGGGAGTGAGATTGCACCTGTGGACTTTGATGGAGACGGAATAACTGACAACCTTTTGGTGGCTGCACCAATGTACTTCAACGCAGGCTTAGAGAAAGGAAAGGTCTACATCTACAGAATAACAGAACCGGTAGGTAGAAACCTCTTAAATACAGAGAAGTGGCACACAAACAGAACACTCACTACAAAACTGGGTCAGCACCTGTCGTTCCCGAGTCAGTTTTAGGCACACCTCATCACGAGCGTCTCGTTGCATCTGATAGATTGACATTTTCCAGACGAAATGTGCAGATGAGATGAAGGAGCTGTGCCATGCCAGGGTGCACGCTTTAATAGACGTGTATAATGAACTCAAGAGGAAAGAATTCTGTCCCATCTAAACCCAATTCCAGCAAACCTTTTGGAGGCGAGAACTGCCTTTTAATAGGAGGAAATTTACCGGTTCCAGGTCTGTCTGGCTCGTCGGGATAATGAATGTCCTCAGATGTTTTCGAATCCACTGAGCAGGCGCATATGAAGTATTTAAATGTCTGGCGGGGCCAAAACCACATCACAGGTGGCAGTCTCAACCTCAAAACAAAACACAAACAAATAACTGCTTAACAATATGTGTCATCAGAGAGAGAGAAATGCTACAGGTTCAGGACGATTAAAGGTAATGATGTGGCTGATTCAGGCGTTGCTGAAGACTTCCTGTTGTGCTTCTGAAAAACTACCTTAAATAACTTCCCGTAGTAGTACTTCAAGTGCACTCTGGGAGTCTAGAAATTAAATAAAAATATACATCCTTTCTAAGGGTTCTCTCTAATCCTTGCTTACACTTTAGAAAGCTCTTTGTATCCTAAATGGGCTCCATAAATAAAAATATTGCTTACTTACTGTATTTGCTGTATAAATAATGAGGAAAGTATAAGTGCAAAAAATGTAAAATGTCAGTATGTAAGTGATCAAAAAATAATTCAGTATATGAGTAATGTGTGTTTAGTTTTATTATTAATTTTTTAATTGGTGTGTTTTCCCGCAAAAATGKTTTATTTTGCAAAAGATCTGTAGTGGTCTTCTAATTGGTTGTGTGATTGCAGCAATTGTATTTTTTACAAGATTAGATGCTCTGTTTGGATCTGTTGTCTTTAAATAATTAATAAAGTACAATTTAATTCAGTTGAGCTTTTTATAGTTTCTTTTTGGGCTTTTTGTTGTTGATGTTTTCACTTTAAAACATTTGATTAACCTCAGAAACATTTAAAATCAAAACAGTCAATATTTTAACTTGAAGAAGTCAAGGTATTTTAGCTATTTTAGTAAAAATAAAAATAGACCAAATGAACCAAAAATGTGTCAAAAAGCAGCTAGTTCTGCAACAATTCTCTAGAAGTAGGAGTTCTGTGTGTGAGTGGAGTTTTGGATCTGTTTATTTTCTGCTGAATAAGAAAGTTGGTGAAAATGCAGTGATCTTGATCTGAAAAGGTTTGAGTTTATTTATTTATTTTTTTGATGATGCAGCTTTAGTTTTTTCTTATCTTCAGCGACCTGGTTACAATTTTGTATAAAACTGAACAAAATAGAAAACACATTTCAAATCAAAGGTTTGCCTAAAACAATATTAATTAACTTTTTGTTGACAAATGAAGATTGCAGATTTCACATCTTCGTTTAGAACTGCGTTTTGGGTGAGAACTTAAGCTGTTTTTTAATTTTATTGTTATTATTATTTTTATTTTTTGGAGACTATTTTGTAGAATTAATCCGTTCTATAATGTTCTGGTATCCATGTATCAGTTTGTAGAAAATTTCTTGTCCGATCTCCCAATTGGAAAATTTAATATAGAAACATCACACTGTACAGCTGCAGACCTCATGGGTCCAAACTGGTCCCTATTGACTTTAAGACCACATGATCATAGGTCACCTCTTTATTAAAACTGTGTCTTTGCTCTAGATTGACATCCAAATAACATAACAAAGTAAAACCCTTTGTTTCTCACATTGTGCTTCTCTGTCCATCCATAATGCTGTCTACAATTAAGTTGCCCATGGTGTTACTCCACAAATGTTTAGGACTGAAAATGTCACCAGACAATTCTCTGCATTGGACTTTATTTTTAATAAGAGCACTTCCACTAAAGAAATCATCAGTGGTACTCAAGAGCTCTTCCACTCTGAACATAAAAATGTATTGATAGGCTGAAAATCATCCACAGGTTGGTTCTTCACATTATGGTCGATAATTGAACTGTTTGTAGATTTAAACCATGGACATCATTATCACTGTCACTATAAACACATCAAAAATCTAGTTACCTCGTGCTATTTTCAACTCCGTAAAATTTCAAAACTTCATCCACTCCTGCCTGCCTCTGACCTGAAAATGGTAATCCATGTCTTTATCTCAACCAGTCTTGACTGTAACAGCATGTTCACCTGCTTAAATCAGAAACAATTAAACTGGCTTCAGCTTGTTCAAAACTCTGCTGCTCCTAACTAGAACATCCAAATTCTCTCACATCTCCCCCATATTATCAGACCTCCACTGGCYACCTGTACAATTCAGACTCAAGTTCAAAATCCTGGTTCTCACTACATGGCCAAGCGCCAAACTACATCTCCGGTCTTCTCTCACCTTATAACCCCAGACGCAACTTGTGCTCACAAGACCAGAATCTTCTCTTGGTCCCCCGTACTCRCTTCAAGACCCATGGTGACTGTGCCTTTTCCTCAATGGCTCCCAGACTGTGGAACACCCTTCCGCCCTATCTAAGATCTGTTGATAACACCGACTCCTTTATAAAACAAATAAAAACACACCTTTTCACTCAAGCATTCAACTGAATATATTCAACACCTCACAACTTGAGTTTATAAGCCCTGACTAACAATCATGTGTGTTATTCTGGTCTAGTATCCATCCCCTCCACCTGTAAGGGTGAGAGATAAATTGAGCTCCTTTTGTTTTTGTTTTAAATATTGAATGTATTGAATGTATAATTTGTACAGTTAATATGATTTTTTTTTTTGCTTTTTCTTTCTGATAATGGATGTACAGCACCGTGTGAAATCCTTTTCTGTGAAAGGTGCTTTATAAATAAACTTTTACTTACTTACTTACTTACTTACTTACACACTTACCTACTTACTTACTTACTTACTTACTTACTTACTTACTTACTTACTTACTTACTTACACACTTACCTACTTACTTA